GTAAAGGCATGTGTCGCCATGCCTGGATTATATTATTTCCTACTTATTACATTTTATATTTTATGCTGCTCTTTAGCTCCTTAAGGATTTGAGTTATCTGAGTCACTATTTCTTTAATATAAATAATGCCATAAAGAAGATCTGATAGCAGGAACTCAGCCTGGGAAAGTCTGTGCTTTATCTTCATTTCTGTAGGAAACGGGCAGGATGTAGCGTTCCTGATTGACAAGCTCTTCGCCTTCCAGCATGTTTACGATGTAATCCACTGCGTCCTGGACTTCACTGTTGTCTTTATTAGTTTGCTTTCTGTTGCTGTGACAAATACCATGAACAAAAACAGCTTAAGGGAAGACAGGGTGTGCTAGTTCACACTTTCAGTTCATGTCCATCATCCAGGGAAGTCAGGGCAGGAACTCAAGCAGGAGACTGAAGCAGACAGAGACCACAGAGGCACCATAGTGCTTGCCAGCTTGCTTACAACTTGCTTAGCTGCTTGTCTTATGCAGCCCAGGCCCATCTGCCCAGGGAATGATGCCGCCCACAGTGAGCTGGCCCCTCTTTTATCAAATAACAATCAAGACAAGCCCCACAGATGTGCCCACAGCTTTGACGGTTCCTTCTACATTACTGGCTCTTTCTCTCTTGTTTTTTCAAGATTTTCCCACTGTACTTGGCTTTTGACAGTGATTTTTACATGCTCTTTCTTGGTGTGAGTCCCTTGGTGCTCCCCCCACCACACTGCAGGGTCACAGCTGACTGGGGGTCAAGGAGCAGGGGCGGGAGAGCCTCAGCAAGATGGCTGCCAGCTCACGCTGCTCCGACCTGGCTTAAGCAGTCTTCCTGGAATAACTGCTCGATTTGCTGATTCCGGTGTTCAGTGTGCAGAGGTCTGCTCCTTTTGGAAGGTGCAGCTGTTGGTACTGTGGTCAGGCAGCACAGAGAGGGGCACAAAGCTTTGCTCCACCATTCTGCAAGTCCCACTTACATGTTGTGCAAGTCCTTCTCATGCATGCTATTTCTATGACCTCCTTAAGACCTTCCTTAACCCCAAAGCCAGGTGTGACACCCCAGGAACGAAGGATCACGGACTGGAACTGCTTGCTCAGTCAGTCACTTGTGGTCCAGGGCTGGATGTTAGCATTCAGGTGGAGAACAGTTCAGCCCTGTCAGTTCTTGGGTCTGGGTTCTCCAACATCCCTTCCCAGGCACATGACCTTTGCCAATGCATTGCACTGGGCCTCCCTTTCTTCCCCTGTAAAATAGGGACAACGTGTCTATCCCAGAGGTTTGAAAACAAGACAAACTATGTACAAGCCATTGGAGCAGCACTCGGATTTTACAAAAGAGACTGATAACTGTTTATCTTTGGAGTAAAAAGGCGGGTATTTTACTGTGGATGAGTGCTCCATGCTGAGGGACAAGTTTTGGGTATCTGGACAGACTTGGTCTGTGGAAGGGCTGATGTCACAGAAAGGATGGGACTTTGATGCCTTTCCACACAGCCACCTGGATCCCTGCCATGTCTTTTTCTACCAACAGGCTGTTGGACAATGATTGCATTATGTTGAACTAAATTAAATAATTGATATTTGGCCTAAACAAAGAGCATTTCCATATGGCTCAATCTGATATTAATATTAATGAGAATAACACAAACAACAATTAAATGCGAAGTCATTTACAAACTCCTTCTATTTGTTCAATAAATTCTCCTCAGGGCCTATTAGGTCCAGGCTGGCCAATTATCAACATTTTGCAGGCGAGGAAGGGCATCAAATACAGGGTGGCAGGCGATCACCTCTTCCTGTCGTCACCTGGACCAAAGTTCTCTCACCTACAGATGAGGTCTACAGAACAGACATTTTTGTTAGAACTGGTATTTTTTGCCTCATCTGAAGGATGATAAAAAGAACACGGGGGTGGAGAAGAGCTCTAAGTTCCTGTGGCAACTGAGCCCGTTCTCTGACAGAGTTCGGGTTGTTGCTGAAGAATTGAGTCTTCTCTACCTTCTACCAGTGTCTGGCTCGAATGGGAAACTGAGGATGTGGAATAGTTCCCAACTTTTGCAGTGTGATGTCTATAAACTACGTGATATATAGACCACAGCACAACCTCAGAGCCTCTGATCCCAGGAACATCCAACTCCAAATCTTTTTGTTTGAGTCAGGGTCTCATTTTGTAACATAGCCCAGGCTGGCCTCCAACTCTCAGAGTCCTCCTGCCTCAGCCTCTAGAGTGCTGGGATTAGCTCCAGATCCCCACACCTGTTCTTCAAACTATTAACTCCAGACTTTATCTCTAAAATAGACTCAGAAAAATGTTTCTCACTGTGGATTCCACTCTTCCCATTCATCTTACTTCCCAACAACTTTTATCATGCTTTTCTCTTGCACAGAGAGAAAAGATGTTATATTTTGGGTATATTGGCTTTATGCATCTCAGCTGCCTGCAACTCCCTGGGAACGTTTTTGGCTAAAATGTAATAATGAAACCACCGGAACTTCGGAGGAATGTGATGGAATTCTCTTCTAGGGCTTCAGGAGATGAGGTTGATTATGGCTGGGACTAGACTTAAAACAAGCAATTTTGGGGGCAGTGTGCCAGGAAATTCTCTGTGATGCAGCTGACCCAGGGGCTGGGAGCGCATCTGTTCAGTGATTGCAGCTTCCGCCAACCTTTCCACTTCCTAAATGTTTCAATTAGTCTCCTGACAGTTTATCCTGAAAATAGACTTTAACTGTCCATGGGCGGAGGGCTGAGAAGAGTGGTAGAATGGGTGGGTGATGGCAGTCATAAAGGTGCAGGGGCCATCTGACGGTTCACATTTCTAGCAGGCTTTCAAAGCCTCTGTAACTATTGACAGAGAAGGCCCCACTGAACCCCTGAAGTATTGTCTCTGCCTCGTCCAGAAGTCTGAGAGAATTTGTATTCCCTGCAGGAGCTGCCTCCTCTTCACCTCTGTCTGGATCTCTCTGATTTGGATGCTCATTCATTCATTCATTCATTCATTCATCATACTCTTTTGAGCACCTACTCTGTGCACGGAGCAGTGCTACAGTGTAGTGGATGGAATAAGAGGTAGATTAAACACAACCTCTCCCTGTGTGATCTAGGTCAGGCAGGCATGATGGATAATGGCTATGTCGCTGAGTCAGCACATACTTGTGACTGAGACAGCAAGCTGTGAGCTCACTGATAGAAGTAGAGTTGGGGGACACTGTCATAGGGTGACTTAAGTGACTGAAGGCCTCCGTGCCTTGTGCTTTCTGGTGCCACCCTAAGCACATGCAGCAGATCAAGGCATAGCTGTTGCCATGGCCCCAGAGACCTTGCTTGCAACCTGGCTCTGCCCTTTGTGTAGACATATGACCTAGGACAAATACCTGCTTTTAGGGATTGTATGTGTGTGTGTAGCGTTGCCAATATGTGTGTGATGCAAGTGTGTGGCGTGTATCACTGCATGTGTGTACTTGTGTGGATGCCCCAGGTGACATCAGGTGTCTCCTCAATTGCTATCCACCTTTATTTTTGTGACAGTGTCTCTCACTGAACCTGAAGCACATTGATTCAGCCTGGCTGACTGTCTCTCCCCCTGGACCTCCACCTCCCCTAAGAATGCGGTTATAGGCACACTGAAATGCCTAGCTTTTTATGTAGATGCTGGGTATGCAAACCCAGGTCCTCATGCTTGTGTGACAGGCACTTTACCAACTGAGCCATCTCCCTAGTCCTCACTAGGGTTTTAAACTTTGTATGTATATACATTAAAAACATATCACAAAATATACAATGTCACCCATCTTGAATGCATATTTCAGTGATGTTAGCTCCATTCACAATAGGATGTGAGGTGCATCATCCTCCATCTCAACTCTTCCTCTTGTAGAACTGAATTCTGTCTTCTTTAAACACTAACTCTTCACTGTATGCAGTGTTCAGCCCCTGGCCACCACTATTTCTGTTTCTGTGAACTTACCTGGTCTAGGAACTAATAGAGTCGCACAACATCTGTCCTTTTATGATTACCTTGGTTCACTATAATGTCAAGGCTCATTCATGGAGTACGTGTCAGAATTTCTTTCCTCTTCAAGACTGAGTAATATTCCATTGTATGGATGTATCATATTTCATCTATTCAACTCTTAGACACTGGAGTTGTTTCTACTTGCTGGTTGTGAATAATGCTGCTATGAATATTGGTATAAAAATGTCTCTTCAAAGGACTGGTTAGATGGCTCAGATGGTAAAGTGCTTGCAATACAAGCATGAGGACGTGAGTTCAGTCCCTCAGAACTACATAAAAACCAAGCACAGCAACATGTGCTTATAATCCAGCACTGGGGGGGGGGGCAAAGACAGATGGATCCCTGGGGCTCAATGGCCAGTAAGCTTTGCCCAGTCAGTGAGCTGCAGGTTCAATGAGAGACCCTGCATCAAAAACCAAGGGGGAGAGCAATAGAGGAAGACACCTGACACTACCTCTGGCTTCTGCACACAATACCTGAATGCACACACACACGCACATACACACGGGGCTGGGGGGGGGGTAAAATGTAAGAAATACATCCCTTCGAGACACTGCCATCAAGTCCTTGGGTACTTACACAGGGCTTGCTGAGTCATATAGTGATGCTGATTTAGTCCTTGGAGGAGCCACCACTCTGTGTTCCACAGTAGCTGCCCACTTTTCAGTTTACTTCTTCAACCTTCTGCTCTGTGGAATGGGTGTGGTTGCCGTGCAACTGCTTGCAGTTATTTTAAGAATGAAGAGATTTGGTCTTTCTGAAGGTTCCAGTGGAGTGGGTGGCACCCAGCAGGGGCCCAGGACAGGCTCCCCTTCTGTGCTTGCCTGAGGGAGCTGGGGTTCCATTAGCAAAGCCTCAGGGACAGGTAGGTTTCCTCCCTCTGGTGCATTCTCCATTTGGCGAGCCTGCCTTTCACTTTGGGCCTCGCCACCTCTCTCCATGAGCTCTTTGAATATCTCTCTCCTCTCTCCCCAGGCGGTGGAGGAACTGCTGCAGACCCTGGACCTGGAGAAGAAGGCGGTGACCGTGGGGCACAGCCAAGTGAGTGTACATCTGCGGACAAGCCGTCCACTGTACAGGAACTCGGATGACATTCAATTCTTGTCCCACCCAATGCCTTATCACTCTGGGTCTCCCTCTTCCAGACTATGAGAGGAGGCAAATGACTTCATCCCTGCCCCTCTCACAAAGTCATAATGACAAATGTCACATGGGCGGAATGACACGGGGAATGTCATTGTTAGAAGCCACAGTGCCCAGGAGCCTCACCAGTCTGGAATTAGTGTCTGGGGCCTTGCATCACCTGTCGAATCCCAGAAAGAAGTGCTTTACAGCCCGAAGTGTAACAAGAGCGCTCTACTTTCCTTTTCCTGAGGAAAGAATTCACCCACAGGACATAGATGGTTTGAATGGAAGTTTATTTAGCAAAGCAAACACTCCAAAGAGAGGTTGGGTGGGTCGCCCCAGGGTGGGGAGCAGCAGCCACTGAGTTGTGTGTGTTACAGATTTTAAAGGAGTTTTTATTAATATTTAAGAGGTGGGTGGCATATTCATGGGGTAAGGTGACCCCCTTTTCCCTCCCAAATCATGGTGGACTGGATCTTCCTTTCAGGGTGTTTCCTTCCATAATCCCCAGAAAAGGGGAGAGGTGTCAGAGCCACAGTACAAGTAAGGTTCTAATGTTAGGTCTTCTGAGAATGCAGGCTTAGTTACTTTACACACATTGGCAAAAATACCCGAGCAAAGCAACTTAGTGGAGAAAGCATTTGTTCTGGCTCATAGTTCCAAATTCCAGTCCATCATGATGGGAAGGCGTGGTGGCAGGATCTGGGGCCGGCTGGCCACATTGCCTGGTGGCAGCGGGAGCAGGGGCCAACTGGTCACATCGTAAGGACAGTCATGAAGCAGAGAGAGAACAGGAAGTGGGGCCTGGCTATAAAGCCTCAAGACCCGCCCCCAGTGACATACTTCCCCCAGTGAGTCTCTACTTCCTAAAGAATCTACAATCCTCCCAAACAGCACCACCAGCTGGTGGGGACCAAATGTTCCAATATATGACTCTGTGGAGGACACCTCACTTTCCTGTCTGAACACAGACCCTTGCCAGTTCACATGTATGGGCTGATACAGCCAGAATAACCCGAGACAGCTCCACGGATGTTTAACTGCAAAGGGGCTCTGACAGTCAGGAGACAGGGCTGCTGAGACGCAGCCTTAGTTTTCCTCTCACCTCATGGCTGACTGCTTGCTTACCCAGTGTCAGAAGGAAGTGTGTTCTTTTATGCAGAGTCTCCTGTCTCCTCTGCCAGTGGCTGTCACATAGCCATAGTCCTGGTTGGTCCACCAGTGTGAGCGGACAGAGAAAATAACTTGAAGAGATGGGATGATCTGAGGTTAGAGATACTGTTTTCCCAAAGTGATCGAACCCAGAGCGCCTCCTGGTCTGCTTAAATGCTGACAGAATTCCATCATGGTTTTCAAGAAAGGAAACATGACATTTTGGGATTCCTAGACAATTTGACCTTAGAACCTTTAATCTTCGTGGCTGTTTTGTTTTGTTTTTGTGGAATCCTCGTTACTTCCTAAAGCCAGCATCCCATGGACTGTTAGGGAAGTGACCACAGAGTCTCAAATTCAAGAACCAGGTAGGTGTTGGGCAGGGCACTGTACAAAGTTCAGAAACCCAGACTGGAGAGAGAACTGGAGGGGAACAGTGCCTCAGCCATCCCTGACCCTCGTCCTTTACTCAGTGGTTGGGTAGTGTGGCCAGACTCCACATACAGGTGCTGTGTGAGGTGCCCTGGCCACGTGTCTTTGTTGGATCTTGCCCTGTTACACTGCTTCTGAAACCAGCCCTGCCCTCAGTGAGCTGGCAGCCATCCCATGCTCCCAGCCCATTCCGCAGGCACTGAAATCTCCATGCTGGCCTCTGGTCCTGCTAACGTGTGTGGTCCAAGCTGTGGGCTGACTATGGGTGCAGCCTGATTGTCCCACAGTCATATTTCCCGTAGAGAGAATGAGCCCATCTGTTTGTGGGTTCCCACACAGGCGTGGACTTCATCAGACAGCTGGACATCTTGTTCTTTTTCCTCCCAGCTGCTCCATAGACGAGGAGGCTGTGCTAGTGGTGCAGAAACTGCAGGGTGGGGCCCAGCGGCTGCTGCCACAGGCCCACTAGGTGACCCCCATGCACACTGGTGTCTGAGACCCACTGGGTGAGATAATGACCCAGCTATTTCATGAATACAGAAATCGGTCCCCACAGTCCCAGCAGCTACTGCAGAACAAGAAAAGAACAGAAGTCGCTGCTCACGTTTTTACAGAGCCCAGGAGTCTAGAAGCCTCAGCGTCCTTATAATAAAACATGATTACTACTGCGTTGCACTTGGTGTTCACTAAGAAACGGGCAAGAGCAAATTAAAATCAAAGTGACCCTTGGTGGCCAGGTTCCACAGCAGATTGGGCTCCTGAGGCAGGTGTGGTGTTTACTGTAAGATTTGGTTCTTAAAGTTGGGCAACCAACTGGCTGTGCCAGTCCCTACCCAGGCTTACCGCTTTCGGTGTCTCTAGAGTGAGCAACAAAACCTTGCCTCAGTTGGCACATCTGCAAAATGGAGCTGCTGCTTTCTACCTCCTGTGTGTGGGAATCTGAGCACAATCACTTCACAGGACTGAGCCGCCACTCTTCCTAGAATGCATTTGTCAGCGGGGTTAAGGCATTTATCAAATAGGGTAACAATTTAATGCTTAAAGAATCAAATCCCCTTTAATCTGCAAAATGACCATAAGGAGAAGTGTGAATCCCTCAGCGGTCCCAGAGATGGGAACTATTGCCCTAGCATGATCTTTTAAAATGCGGCTTTGACATTTTTAGATGAAAAACAGACAGCCCAGCTCTGGGCTCTGTGCATTCCTTACAGGCAGGGATGCAGGTTGCTCTGCTCAGGCCTGATAAGCAACCAGACCCATGAAAAGAGAATAGTTTAGATTTTTCTTTGTGATTTTTTGGCCCCTGGCACCTTATCGAAGTTTGTACCATGAGATGTGACAGTTATGGGAAAAGTGTGATTGCACACGCTGTCTGACTTCTGCATGGTCACACGATGCTCTCAAAAAGGAAAAGAAAGAAACTTTGTTTTCAAAAAAGATCAAGACTGGGTTCTGCAGACACACTGACTTATTCCTGCCTGATGCAAAGTCATTTACAATTATCTTTTTTAATGAAAGCGTAGCACTTAATCAATATGGTCTGGGCAGTGCCTGCCACCTACTGTAATATACAAAGTGGAACTGTCATCATTTTGATCATTAATTTTTCTTTTAATGGCAGCTTTTGGGACTCACCAGCTTGTGAAATTAATATGGTTGTTACTGAGGCCATCTGAGGGCGAGCAGTCGCTACTGTCTTTATTCTGGTGAGGCTGATTGCTTTGGTGTCCTGGCCAGCGAGTGCTTTTGCCAATTTGTAAGAGTTTGCCCCCCTTGGATGGACTCATTCTCATTTCCCTTTAGACAGAAGGCTTATTAAAGGATCAGTTGAGGGGACCCATGACTGAGAATGGGTTTAGGGTAGTGGAGAATTGATGCTTTTGTTCCAGCTGGAATCAAATTGACTTTGAACTTCAGATGGCAGATGTGTATGTGCCAATGAAAAAGGAGCTGAAGCTTCCTGTGGACCCAGAGGTGGAGGTCAGAGATGAACCCAAGTCTCGGGTTCAAGGCTCAGCCTTCTGGGTCACCAGCTATTGAGTCAATGGTCTGATTTCCAAGTCAAGGCTGTTTGTAGTCTAAAATCAGATGTGGAGGAAGAAAGACGTCTCAGTCAGTAAGTGCTTGTCACTCAAGTGTGAAGACCTGAGCTCCAGCCCCATAATACAAGGAAAAGAAAAAAAGCTGGGTGTAATGACTTGCAACCCCAGCACTGCAGAGGCAGAAAAAGGAGGAGCCCTGGGACTCCCTGGCCAGCCAGCCTAGGCAATCCATCAGCTTTAGGCAAATGAGAGACCTTGTCTCAAAGAAACAAGGTGGACAGCTCCCAAGGAACACCATCACCTCTGGTCTGCATAGACAGGCACATACAGGTAGGTGTACATGAGCACTCACTAGCACATAAACACACTGGTGTATACCCCTCCACCGCCCACATACACTCAAATGCAGATGCCATGTAAATGTTAATTATAGCAGGTGTGAAAGTACTACTGTGCATGTGTGGAGGTCAGAGGACAACTTGCAGGAGTCGGTCCTCTCCTTCCACTGTGGGTTCCAGGGACCGAACTCAGATTGCCAGGCTTGTTCAGCAAGTGCTGTTACCTGCTGAGCCATCTCGCTGGCCCCTTTGGGGTTCTTCTGACAATGAACACACAGGGCTGTCCTTAGAAAACTGACTTCTCCCATGTCACCAAATCAAGTCCCATCTTGAGGTATCATCCCAGGGCCTGCGAGGAGGGAGGGGACCAATGCACTGAGCAGTACTGTGCACAGTAAGAGATGTACCCTTCCATGTCAGCTGGAGCAGGCCTGTTCCAAAGCCGTGGGTCTCTCGGAAAACCCTTTAACACAAACCCCAGGACTCTCTGCCTTGTCATCCTCTGACAGGCACTCCTGGGCTCCTGGGGTTCCAGTTCCCTGCAGTCTGTTCAGGGACAGCCCTGTGGGGAGCTGAATCAATCTCAGAGCCGTCAAAGCCTTCATCCATTATTGATGTGCTGGGGCCTGGCAGGTGCAGGCTGGAGTTGCTTTCTGCCTCTCGGGGGGCATGAGCCTGACTCCTTCCCAGAGCAAGGAGGGCGCCCGCCATCCCTTCCACCTCTGCCTCTCCTTACAGGCTGAATCATCTCAGTGAATCCTGGTATTTATACTGCATCCATTCTCTTAGGTAGCTCGTGTCCAGGATTGAAAATGAGCATTTCCAAGCCAGCACAAGTGTATGGCTTGTGTTTGCCTGTGGCCAGGCCTTAAAATCTGCATTTACTGTGCTACCAGGATGAATCTCTCATGGAGAACTATAGACATATCTGCCCTGGCAGTGACTATCAAACTAGGGTACCCCTCCCCTAGGGATCAGGTTAAAATGCAGGTTGTGATTCAGCAGGGCTGGGTAGGGACTGAGAGATTCTGTTTTTGTTTTTGTGTTTAAGACGGAGTCTCACTTAGCCCAGGCTGGCTTCCTTGGAACATGCTGTAGTCAAAGATGGCCTTGAGTTTCTGTTCCATCCTTTCTCCACCTCCTGAGTGCGGGGATTCCAGGGGTGCCCCACCACACCTAGTGTCTGCAGTTCTGAGGGTGGATCCGAGGGCATCCCCCATGCTAGGAAAGCACTCTGCCAACTGAGTCACATCCCCAGCCCCAGTTTCTGTCTTAACCAGGCCTCAGGTGGTCTGAAGCATGCTGGTAGCCAGGGGCAGAGGCAGGAAGTGGAGCCTCAGGGAAGAGACAGGATATTTCCATCCTTTAGACCTGTGTTAAAGAGAGGCCCACCAACAAATATTGCAGCTGGGTGCAGGAGAAGAGAAGTGGAGTCTGAGCTGCAGGCCCCTCCCCTTCCACACTGTCTGCAGAGGTCTCACCTGTGCCTTCCTCCCCTGTCCCCAGGTCTTCCTCAAGGCTGGTGTGGTTTCCAGACTGGAAAGGCAGCGGGAGAAGCTGGTGTCCAGGAGCATAGTTCTCTTCCAAGCGACTTGCAGGGGGTTTCTGTCCCGTCAGGAATTTAAGATGCTGAAGGTACTGAGGGCCCACACAATTTTGATCCCATGGGTCTGTGGTATATAAGCTCGGCTGTATTTCCCCATGATTATGCCAGGCTGCCTGTCTGAGGGATACCTGAGCACAATGACCTCCAGGTACCTGGGGGCTGTTGTCAGCCCTGTGATTTAAGCCTGACCCATCTCAGGAACAGCTCCTGCTCAAGGGTCAACAGATACCTTACAAGTCCCAGACACCCAGGTCTGTGAACAAAGGGCAAGTTGTGCCACAGTCCTGGGCCGCCCTGGGCCTTCAAGACTGGCCTTCCTCTCTTCTGCCTGCATGGGAAGAGAGAGCTCACTGCTGTGTTTTCAAGACAGACTAGCCCTATGCTGCATCTACACAGTGGCTGTGTGACGATGAGGGGAGATCATACACACTGAGTCACGAGATTCCAGCTGACTGTCACCTCAGGATTGGCTGTTTTGAGAAAGAGTGTTATAGTTTGCTTTCTATTGCTGTGATAAAACACTAACCTGAAGCAACTTAGGGAGAAAAGGGTTTATTGCATCTTATACCTTATGGTTCATCATGGAGGAAAGTCAGGCCAGGGACTCAGGCAGGAGCCTGCAGCAGAGACCACAGAGGAATGCTGCTCACTGACTTGCTCCCTCTGACTTACTTGGCTCCCTTTCTTATACAACCCAGGCCCACCTGCCCTGGGATGGCACCGCCCACAATGGGCTGAGCCCTTCTACATCAAGTAACAATTAAGAAAATGCCCCATAGACATGTCCTCAGGCCAGTCTGATGGAGAAAATTCCTCAATCGAAGTTCCCTCTTCCCAGGTGACTAGATTGTGTCAAGTCAACAAAGCTACCAGCACAGTCTCTCACTGCATAGGCCCAAATACCCCTGACTGGCCTGGAACTCCCTATGTAGACCAGACTGGGCCTAAACTCACAGAGATCTGCCTGTCTCTATCTTCCTCCCAAGAGTGCTGGGATTAAAGGCTTCCTAGTATTATCTTTTCTTAATGATCAATAATTATACTAGAGTGGATTCTCCAAAGAGCTTCCAGAGTGGGTAAGTCCATGATTTCAAGTGTACTGTGTACTTGGCAAACCAGAAATGTTAATAATGACCCCATCGTGAGCCACCCGCTTCCCGCCGCCCCCGACAGGCATGTGTTCTTTTTTCTTCCATCTGCTTTGTCCGCCCTCCCTCTGGCTCAGGCAGGTGGACCCCTCCTCACACTCACAACTCTCCTGTCCCTCAGATCCGTCAGCTGGCTATGCAGTGCATCCACAGGAACCTGGCTGTGTTCCTGGAGGTCAAGGACTGGCCATGGTGGCAGCTCATCACGTCCCTCCGGCCCCTCTTGAGTTCCACAATTGAGACAGAGCAGCTCCGAGCCAAGGAGGTGGGTTCATGGCTCAGAGGTAACTCCCTGTCCCACTCAACTTCACCCTGTACCCAGCACCCAGGACATTGTGAGCTCAACAACCCTCAATGCTTCCTTCTGGAGGCTTCCATCACCTGAGACCGTGTTTCTCCTGAATCCAGCTGTTCCCTAGGCTGCTGGGTAAAGCGCTGTGATTGCTTGGGGCACAAAAACCCTTGTGGCTCATTCTAGAACCTTAGTGATGGGATCTTTGCACATTTTATTTCCACCTATCAGAACACTTGTCTCCAGCCATGCAGGTTACTGCTTTGAGTGGTCTCTGGTGCAGACTTTCTGATATCTTTTTTTTTGCAAAAATGATCAAGTTATATATAATGGTTCCTTTCTTTTTTTTCAGGTTTTTTTTTTAACTTAAAAAAAACTTTATTGAGAATTTCACACATGCATATAAGGTGTTCGGATCAAATCCACGCCAACTCCCTCCCCTCCAACACCTCTTATGTCTCCCCATCACTTTTTTCTGACAACTTTGTGTTCTTTCTTCCTTTCCTTTCTTTCTCTCTCTCTTTCTTTCTTCTTTTTTAAAATGAGGCTTTTTACTACTCTAACATTCCCCCCTCTGAAGAGGTAACCTTAAAATCCTTTTAGGGATTAGATAAAAGCTCCCAAATACTATTGACAATTTTGGCCTTTGGAACATAGTATGTTGCTAAGTGGCCCAAGGACATTTTAACTCTTAGCCAAGAGACTGGCTGTTTTCTTTGGGGTCTTTTTCACCCTAACTGCCTAGTTAATTCCTACCTTCTATTCTTATCACACCGTCCTCTGAAGAGGTTACCCAAATTGCTGATAGGAAATAGGGATGCAGACGGCTCTGGCTTCTTCCATGCTAAACAGGGACGCAGGGTAAGGCAATTGGGGTAGCCCTTCAGTGGGTCTGTCTAAAAGACTCCCAAATTGCATAACTCTTACTGTAGGGGGAAAAGAAAGTCCTTGACTGGTGAATAGGAGATGTGAAGGAGAAGTAAAGGCAAGAGTAGTAAGCATTACAAGTTCTAGACAGGGAATTACAAAAAAGTCAGAACAGGGCAAATTTCAACTGTTCATATCAGAGTCCATTGGAATTTCTTGACGAGAGCTCCCCAAAGCATCCCTCTATTGGGTTCCTCTTCATTTTTCTTTTGTCTGCTAAGGCTGGACTTGAGAGTGGTGGACTCAGGATTTGTTTTCAGGCACTTTGATAGCTGTTGGATTGGCTAGGATCAGTGTTAGTTCCCTCACAAAGGCTTCACCACATGGAGGCAGGATCCAGGCGCTCTCAAGTGGATCCCATGAGTTCTCAGCCCCTATGCCAGAGGGAGGCTGGAACAGGCACTCTGTTGGTCTTGGTTCCTTTCTTTCTTACATAAAAAGTAAAATGTGAAGTAGGCTGTGCACCCCTCATTAAAAAATACCCAACAGTGAAGTCCATGCAAATAACTCAAATCTGAGAGTCTGAAACCTGACCATCTGACCCTTTGGATGAGGGAAATTCAGTTTCTATGTACTCTGCTGAAATCCGTACTGTGCACTTACCGACATATTTTCAAAATCATCAGGGACAATTCAATGGAGCTTTTCTTTGTTCTGTTTACTGCTATGTAGTACTCCCTTGCCCATAAGGCCCATCATTCACACCACTATCCTGCTGTGGCATCTCAAGGTAGCCTTGCAGACATGGACAAGTGATGTAGTGCTTTTATATATGGATGTGTGTTTGGAATGATAAGTCAGACTAATGTGGTAAAAGCGTGCTTTTGTGTGTGATGTGGAGGAGACATTTCAAGCCCCTTTCATCAGCTTTGGAATGAATAAAGCATCTTTGTTATAGTCATCATTCATGAAAGACATCATTAAATTTCCTCTGTGCCCCAGCAGCTTTGACCCCTTCAACCTTTCTTACCAGGAGTGGACTGTGCATCTGGTCTGGACCGGCTTCTTCATTCTGGGTGTTTGTGTTGCAGGGGGAGCTGACAATGCTGAGACAGAAGCTGAAAAAGTCAGAGAAGTCCAGGATGGAGCTCCGGCAGAGCACAGACCTGTTAGAGAGCAAGGTAGGTGGCTCCTCCGCCACTTGGGTCTCAGGATGTGTGGCCGCTGGGGAGGAGAAGGAAGGTGTGCTCCTGTGCTGAGCTTCTTCCCAAACCTACACAAGCAGCCAAAGAAAAAATTCGGTGTCATGAAAGGACAAAGTGTGGGAGAACTGCTAAATCTGACCATGTTAAAATACCGGGCGTCTGTTGGTCTGAGCGTAAAGTGAACACAGGATAAACAGGTGGAGTCACAGCCACCTGGCGGGATGGGCAGAGTTCGGAACGCGCAATGAGCTTGCTCCAGTCAGGGAAGAGATGAACTGCTCTGTAGGAGGAAATGACCAAAATACAGACAGTTGGGGGTCATCCTTTTCCCTTCTGCCTCTCTTAAATCTATTGATAGTTTATTTAACATTTGTTGCTAGAAACACAGCAGCACAGCACACATGAGGGAGAAAGCCAGGCTTGGGATGTGGCCACGTTTCCTGGGATTTGGAATGACCTGTCTTTCATGTCACCTGCATTGCTATTACCTTATGTTTACTGTTCAGACCTTTCCTCTAGTGCTGTGTCTTTTTGGTTTTGTTTTTTTTGTTTTTTTTCCTTTTAATTGTAGCCCAGGTTGACTTCAAATTTCCTATGTAGCCAAGGATGATGATAATTTTTTTTAGTGTTTATTTTTATTTTTTATCAGTGTGTGTGTGTGTGTGTGTGTGTGTGTGTGTGTGTGTGTATGTGTGTGTGAGAGAGTTCAGTGCCCATAGAGACAGGAAGATGATCTCCTGGAGTCATTGGGAGCTTCAAGGTCCTCTGAGTATTCCTAACAGCTGAATCATCTCTCTAGTTCCTAAACTCCATTTAAATTTTTCTTTGTTTGTCTTTTGACAATTTCATACACATATATAAAATATTTATCATTTTCCTCTGTTATCTCTTATCTCCCTCCCCCTCTCTCTGGAACCTGTCTTCTTCCCAATAAGTTCCTCTACAGCCTTGTCAGCACTTCGTATTATCTGTCTTCATTTAGTTCTGTTGGTGAGTGTGCTGGGCTGACTCACACTGACAATTTTGTGTGTACATGTTCATGTTTGGGGATATTATTTTGTTATATCCTCCTTGACAAAGCAGCCTCTTGTCTTTTCCCCATTCCCCTCCCTTTCCTCTTGTTGGTTTGTAAACACTTTTTACATGCTCAGGATTTATGTTCTGTCAGCAGTATGTGCTGTGGCTCTCTTCTACTCTGAGCCCATTGTTTTGAATACAGGAATAGTTTGTGTTTTCTAGACCCCTGAGTTTCTTCAGGGCCTAGAAGAAATCAGAAGGTTTTATGACTGCAAGCCAGTTTAGACCTCAAAAGCTCTTCAATTTTATTTCATTTTATATTTTACCAACTCTCAAACTACATTGTTTCCCACCTTTTAAAAAACACTTCTGGGACTAGAGAGATGGCTCAGTGGCTAAGAGCACTGGAACTCAGGTTCAGTTCCCAGTACCTACATGGCTAACAATCATCTGTAACTCCAGTTCCAGGGGTTCTGATGCCCTCTTCTGTACCCCACAGGCATTGTATGCACTTATATACAAGCAGGTAAAACACTCACACAATTAAAATGCAAGTTAAAAACTCATCTATTCTTTCACAATTTGATGCACATTTAATATAGTCCATCTTTTTTGAGGCATGGCTGAGGTCTTTTTTACTTGAGTGGGCAAAGGCAATGGCTAGACCACAGAGGAATGACTGCCTCTCCCCCAGCAGCTTTCACTGCCTAGGGCTCCTCAGGGCAGGTGGGGCCTCATGAGCCACACCCCCCATGCTGGGATGTTGACAGGCTTGATCTTGTGCAGGTGAGCACAGCTTCTGTCAGTTCATGAGTTACAACTGCCATTGTATTTCCAGAAGAGGGCATTTCTCAGCACCCCTCCCCTCTGCCGGCCCTTCTGCAGTGTTCCCTTAGCCTTTGGGGGGAGGGGTTGATATGGATGTCCATTTAGGGGTGAGCACTCAACAGTCATGTCACTTTGAGCAGTCTGAGTCTGTGCATTAACTGCTCCTATAGCAAGAGAAGCATCTCTGACTAAGGCTGAGGCAGAATTAATCTCTGAGTATACACTAAGTATTGTTGTCAGGTGGACATATCTGTTTAGGAAAATGATAGTAGTAGGTTTCCTCCTAGGGCCTATGACCTTCACAGCCATGGTGTTGGCCAGCTTTACAGTTTGAGGCATGAATTCCTTCCTATGAAGCCTGCCTCAAATCCAAGCATAAAGTGGTTGGTTGCTTCCACCACAGTCATGCCACTATTGCTCCCATGGGCACATTTTGTCTGGCAGGCAGTTTTGTAGCATGCAGGGCCCTGGGCTGGGTAAGACCATTAACTTTTCTCCCTCAGTGGCCTGCACAGCACCTTCTGAAGCTGCGAAAGTCACCAGCAGAGCTCAGTTTCAGTCATCAGTGTCTCCCACTGACAGCTCGTGGTGCTTTCCATCCTAGAGCAGTGTGTCTTGTCACCCATGGCAGCAGCTCAGGTTTAGAGAATGTGGCATCCTGTGGACACTTTATTTGAAGAAAGACTCTAGTCTCCTGGCCAAAAAAATAATTGCTGGTTTATACCAGCTGGATTTATACCTCAGTGCTCACAGTAAGGAGAAATAGCCCAAGGAGAAATAGCCCTGTGGGTTCCCAGCCTCATCTGCAAAGGGATTGATGCATGAGGGAGGTTCCTGTCTATGCTGCTTCTTTGAAAAGCCCTGAGGTGACTTTATTGCAGGACAGAGGATCCTGTTACAGAGCAGTGGGTCTCAGCCTGGAACATGGGCAGAGCTCCCTGTAGAACATAACAGAATAGTCATAGACAAGCCCCAGGCTTAGCGATGCTGAATCCAGGCTTGGGGTGGCCCCAGAGCACCTGAATTTCTAGCAAACTCTCAGGTACTTTAGAAGTAGAAGCTCTGCCAGCCACTCACGGGGTCAGAGAGCAGTGTGGCCTTCTATCTTGTGGCTCTACTTTGGTAACAGTTGGGACCAGACTCTGCTTCAGGGCCATGCATCACCAACATACCCCTGCCACAGTGCCCAGCCTCTATTCACACCTGTGTGTCTCATCAGGGGGAGGCAGTGAACAGAAGTGGCACTGAGATGTGGCAAGATCGTCGCCAACACCATTTTACTGAGCTTAATAAGAAGACAGCATTATTGCAGAATGATTTAAGTGCTCCTTTGCAAAGCGGCCTAAGGAGGAGATGGGGAACCGTGGAGAGGCTGGCTGTAAAGGCTGTCAGGCATGCAAATGCTGCCTTGGTGGAAAGGGGTCTTATTTTCATAAGGAAGAAGAACCCTTCATCTTGTAGAACTTTCCTGTGAGGGTTAGGTGCTCTTGGAGATATGTCCTGGGTGTGTCAATTTCCTCCTAAGATTCTTCCTAGCTATAGCCAGAGATGGAGGACCATGCACTCAGTCCAACACCTTTTGGAGTTCAGTAAGGAATTGTGACTTGAATATACCAAGGAGTGGAAGTCTGAAGGTGCTCACCGGGTGTTCTAAGGGAGTTCGGTCATAATATCTGCACTTGTCTAGTGGGGAGGGAGGTCACAGGACCAGCTGGGGCCTGAGCCCATCCATACTCCAGGTCTCCTGACTCAGAATCCATGTTGTTGCAGCTTCTCCTGTGTGAAGGGGCAGGAGCATCTAATCCCAGGGGGAAGGCTTGGTTCACTGGCTCCTGTTGCCATCTGCCTTAGGTACCCGGGCCTCTTGGGCTTTAACTGCTGGGGAATGGTCCCTTCAGTGAAGCTGGCTTCTGACACTGTGTGGGCCTCAGAGGAGGATACATCTGGAATGTTCTTTATCTTAATTTTAAAATTTTATTTTATGTAGATGAGCATTTTGCCTGCATGCATGTAAGTGCGCTATATGCATACAGTGAACACAAAGCTTAGAAGAGGGGAGGGCATCAGATTCCTTGGAACTGGAGTTACAGATGGTTATTAGCTGCCATGTGGGTTTTGGGAACCAAACCCAGCAGCCAGTGTTCTTAACCGCTGAGCCATCTCTCCAGCCCCTAGAATGTTCTTTTTGACTGTGTGTCTCAGTCCTTCCCACAATACTGATACTATCAACTTTTCCTTTCCCACTAAGCAACACAGAGTTGGGGGGTCAGCACGGTGCCCCAGGTATGAAGGAGCAGCAGCAGATGGCCTGGGTGCCACACGCCTGAGTGTGGTTCTGATTTCCAGGGTATTGTGGGCCCCATCAAATTCCTATGCCTTTGTCTGTGATCATTGAAATAGCAGTGGAGGTCAGAGCTCCTTCTGAGTTTGTTACACCACACCGTGCAGCCAGCCCAACCAGCTCTGTCACTAATACACACATCCTGTATGTGTTTGTCCTCCCTCAGTAAAGAGCAGTCCTCGGAGGCAGTGACACACCCTTGGCATTTCTACCCTTTGGTATTTAGCACAAAATGCTTGACTCAAGTCCAGTGATGAATGGAGCCACCTTCAATGAGTGCTGTGTCTGTCCGCTGCTGGGTCAAGTCCTTTGGCCTCTGAGTTCAGCTGGTTTTACCTATAAAGCAACATGGAGAAAGCCTGGAGTGTCTGGCGGGTACAGTCTTGTTACTGTCAGGTAGGGGCGTAGCCACGATAATAATGCAAGGTATTGGCACCCGGCAGCCTGGTGGGGGGAGATCAGGATCAAAGGATGCCCCAGGGGTGGGGCTGTGGGTGATGGAACTGAGGGCTTACTTCCTCTCTGGTGAAGTGTTGGCTGGGTTCTAGAACCTCTGAAGGTACCACTATGCTCCTAAGAGGCCATGTGTCTCTTCTTTCTAGACACCCATAGAGGCTGGTCAGGAAGGTGACATTCACAGGTGTCTGGCTCTCAGGGCTCATGCCCCTGTGGTCCCTACGAAGATGGCCTCACTCACTCAGACAGGTAGGCCTGTGGAGGCCTCCCCTTCCTTGGTTCTCTCATACATATCCATCTGTGAGCCCAAGAGGTGGTTTGGTGGTGTGGTCAG